TGCCAAAAGGGTTTAAATCCTATTTGTTCCCCCCCCCCCCCCCCCCCCCAAAAAAAACCACAACAAATTCACCTATAAATAAGTTGCTCCATCACACTTTCAAGGGGATGGATTTTGGAAAGAGAGAATTATCAAATACAAAAAGAAAGAGAGAAGAGAAAAACAGTAAAACATTCGCAAACTCAGAATTCCTAAACAAACCAAACCTTTGTTATTCCCTTTGAATCAAAGAACATAGCATTTTCTGTTCCGTTGTTCTTGCTGACTCCAGAACATCTGAAGGCAGTAGCTCAAGTTCCAAACACACTCTTCAAATTCAAGGTAAGTCGTTCTGACTTTGCATTTTTCATTCAGAACATCATGAAATATGTAAATATCATAGTATTGATGCTATCCATATCATTGCATAAGTAGAAAAAAACTATGGATCAGAATTTCTCGAATAAAGCTAGGCTCAGAATTAGGATTAGAACTTCTATGAACTGTTGTGTTTTTATATTTCTGATTTGCTATTGTTAAGAACGGAATAAGTTACTGATGAGCTGATTAAATGTAAGGATGGAGTTGAAGTATAACACATAACTTCTGGGTCTTTCTTTCCCACTATTTTAACACAACACAAAACTTCTAATTTTTGCTCATTGTTTTAACACAACATAGAACTTCTGAGTTCTCCTCACTATTTTAACACACAAAACTTCTAAGATTTTTGCTCACTGTTTTAACACAACACAGAACTTCTGATTTTCACTCACTGTTCTAGCATAACACAGAACTTCTGAGTTCTCCTCACTATTTTAACACACAGAACTTCTAAGATTTTCTCACCGTTTTAACACGCAGAACTTCTAGGCTTTCTTACTGTTTTAACACATACAGAGCTTCTAAGATTTTCTTACTGCTCTAACACTCAAAACTTCAGCACGTAGTGACCCATAACTTCTATTTTCCCCCTAACGTTTCTTTCAGGACCCCAGCGTGTATTAACTTAGAACTTCTGATCACATCTGATGTTTCTTGCTGAACCACAACGCGCCTGGCATCAGAACTTCTGGTCCTCTTTATTTTTCTTTCAGCAACATGCTGATCCTATTTCTCTTTATTTTTCCTTTTTTCTCTTTTATTTTATTATTAGTACTATTTTTCTTAATATAAAAAAGACATAAAAATATTTTCTTTTTATTAACTAATTATTTCCTTTTTTCTTCTAATTCATTAAGACAAAAAACCATTTTCAAAACAAGTCTTTTTCTTTTCTTATATTGTACAATTCAATATGGTTGTAATAGATAATTAGGATTTAAATTCTTGCAAATCCCCATTTATAATTATGTACCCCCATCCCTGAAATAATGTAATAGTGTAGGAATTTACATTTTCCGCAATTTATCGCTTTCAAATATAAATACTAGTAATTAGGTTTTGTATGGAAAGACATGAAATCAACAAATGGACACCCCTAATCAAGACTAAATGCATGTAAATCAAACACACTTGCACACTAACACCCTTAGGGTAATCCCGCTTTGTTACCTTTCGGAAAATAGTCATGTCCCTCGAATATGGGCGTCTTAGCAAAGACCCTCGATAAAAGATCGTAGTCCCTCGATGACCCTCAATGTTGCCTTCGGTAAACAATCTAGTCCCTAACTACATTGCTAAAATGTCTCATAGGTTTCCTTCTATGATTATACAAAAACGTCATGTGCCCATCCCTTCACATCCAACGATGGAGTTTCTTACCAAAACAATGGTAAGATAACAACATCTAAAGGAGGAGGAAAAGAACATTTCATACCTTTTGAGTAGGTAGGTTACTCCTAGTTGCTCGCTTGCTCACAACAAAAACCTTTTATACACCAACACTTCACTTTGGAACATTTTTCAAAAGACAAAACACTTTGTACGCGTTCTTATAGAGACGAGAACCATTACAAAGACATTATTTTTCAAAATACATTCAAAACCCACATCACAAACACACTTTCAAATAAAAAGCAAGTGATCCAGCAAGCAACTAAGAGCCCGTAGATAACTACAGATGAAAATGGTGCTAATACCTTCCCTTTTAATAACCTATCCCCCGAACTCAAGAAAATATCTCGAAAAGTCTTTCCTGTTCTTTTCAACCTTTCCTTTTGGATAAAAGAAAAGTCGGTGGCGACTCTTGCTAACCGCAACAATTGCGATCAAACGCAAAAATACTCAAGTCAATTCTCTCACCGTATTACAGATAGAAAAGACTTTTCCTGCACCAAAGGTTAGTTCCCAACGGATAGAATAAGGTGTGAGAGTTTAGACAGTATAAAATAATATTTATGTATCCTGTCACTGTTCAATGATAGCTTTCCACCTTTTCTCTGAATAATGTTTTTCTATTAAGCTTGTAAATAGAGATTCGTTAAGTAAAGAAAGATAATTGTAAATTCAGTTGTTTGTTCCCAACGGTCACGGTGAGAGTGATTGATAATACATTATAAAGGAATGTCCTTACGCCACCCTAGAGGGTAGAGGTCATAGACACTTTATGTACCTTTTATAAAACATCACACGTTAACCATTTGAACTTTCTTCTTATCTTCAGAGGCTTCAGATATTTGAATGTTGAACATTGAAGCTTGTTGTAGAAGAATCGTTCTTTAAGTCTTAGAACCTAAGTCTTGGAGTCTTCAGAAGTTGTCACACAGAACCTTGTCTTTAGAGTTTTCAGCACTTGGTTGTAACAAATTTATTTTCTTTAGATCATCAGAACTTGTTCAGCAGAACCTCGTCTTCATAATCTTCAGAACTTGTAACACCAAAGTAAAGCTTTAGAAGGCCTCCAAAGTTTAAGCACAAAGTCACGATCATAACTTCTTGTACTAACGTTCCTAAGACACGTTGCAGAAGATAAGTTTAGAATATTGACTTCAACAAAACATGTAACCACATGTTTTCTTCCAGAGTGTATGTTTAGAACCTGGTGACGTCACACGCCTTGTATCAGAGTCAGAATATTATAGCAGTAGCTACACACTAGAATGAAACAATTAGTGTATACAATTTTTCTCTAAGATAACATGTAAAGTTATCATCAAAATCTCAAGGCCATATGTAGAAACACTTTTTGTTCTTACAACTTCTACTTCAATCTTACCAATCTCAATTCACTCCACATACTACATTGAACATTATTCATCCTTATCAACACTTACTTGAGTAAGTTTTTCATTTAACTGATTTTGATTTTTGATTTTTGATTAATGTCTAAGGTAAAATAGTTTACTTTTAATGCATTAGAAAGTATTAGAATTTGAAACATGTAATTATGTTACATATATGCACTATGATTTTGATGCATTTTAGCTTGTTAGGACAAGATTATAAACTGATTCTTCCATTAATAGAAAATACGGTTTTTTCGGACATGCATCTCTGAATTTGGCACTTTTTGGTATTCAGATATACATATCGAATTTGGTCCTTTCTGCTACAGAATTTCAAACTAATGTATTTTTTCCAGGAGAATGACTGCAAACAACAACAGAAGGAGACTCGCCGTGAAACCCTATATGCGTCTGCTCACTGCGAGAGGACTCTTTAAAATGAGCATGCCAGAGCTATGTGGAAAATCGTCCCTAGGCCTCATGATGGGGAAGCGTCGACATCTAGGAGTCGCCTCTCACATGGGTCCTCATCTTAGGCTCACTTCACCAAGAGGAAGTCATTGTTGCACGTGATGGTCTCTCTCCACTTGCAGACCCTTATCAAGGAGGGCCCATTGACACCTCATTACTGATACATTATGGAGATCATGTTGCTCTGTATGTCTGGACCGGGCGGTATATTTGTTAACGGTTGTTATTTTTCAGTTTTAACCAAATTCAATGCGACTGGTATTGTTACATTTTCTTTTTAACAGGAACATGATTGTTTGAAATATGTTAACCATGTCAAAAAAAATCGCAATCTTTTTTAGCCTAAGGATGAGTGGTTCCAAAGTATCATCAGATACTCCGGTCTTATCGGTTTGTGTTCCTCTGGGTATGCAGCCATCAACCATGACATACAGGGGGACTTTGTTGAGATATGACATAAAAATACATCATCTTTTCACTTCCCCATTGGCGAGATGATGATTGCACTAGATGACGTCGCTTGCCTTCTACACCTTTCTATCAGGGGGAAATTACTTGATTATTCTAGGATCAGACACCAGATACTTCTAGACGTCCATCTAGTCTTGCTCATGAGGAGATTTTGGAGAATGGGCAGGCCAGGGATGACCATGTGATTGATGTGTTTCCTATATGTCAGGATATTATGCGGATTACGAGATAGGGCATAAAGTCTGAGTTGTTTGAGAGAGGTGGTGATGTTGCAGTTTCTCTAACATGTTCTATTCTTACTGAGGCACATAATGTCTTGGGTTACCGGCGCCAGAGGAGGAGTCAGGGGTTAGGATTAAGCATAACCAAATTGCTTATGCCTTTTATGTATTTTTGGATATTTTATCAATATTTTCTATACTTTGAATTATATTTGTACTATTATGACATGTTTTTTAAATTATTAATTCATTACCATATTTTGAGATGTTAATGGTTGAATTAAATTATAGATTATGATACTGTCAGTCCGATAAAAATAACTTTGGATTAAAAAAATATAAATCTGAACAATTTTTCTGTCTCCAATGCATGCAGGAAAGTTTTCAGATATGTATTTCTAAAACCTGCTATTTTGAAAATACATTTTCAAATACACCTGAAAATATTTTTAGATTTTCGTATGTGTTATTCACAACACAAGAGTGGGTTGTCAAATAAAGTTCGCAAGTAAGATATGTAAACTAAGAAAGTTAACGAGGAATTACTACACACAAAAACTACTCGCACATATAGCAAAGAAACCAAGAACGAAGTACAACAAGAACCATACCCAAACATTCTTGAGAAATCATTTGAAAATAAAAGGGAAGAAGAAAGACTTTTAAATTTCATGGTTCAAAAACTTGTTTATTAATAAAACAAGCTCCAACTCCTATTACACTTGAACAAAAATCTCTTCTTGATCTTCCTACAGCTGTTCCCAAACTTAATCTTCAACTTAAATATTTTAATCCTCAAGAATGAAGGCTTTCTTCGAGAATCAACTTTTTCTAATGCTTTGTATATCAAGAACTGTGCTTCTCTATGCTTTCTCTCTTCTGAGTCTTCCTTCTCCATCTTGGAGTAACCTTGTAGTCTCCTTGATAGAACCATACTCATCATAGTGAGACTTGAAAATTGGTAAGAATGAAATGATAGTAATTATGGAGGAAGCTACAAAAGCTATTTATATAATTATAAATCCTATGTGTAAGACTTTGGTTTGTAAATTTGAATGAAAAGTAGAAGTGGTTTGTTAGAGTATGGACACTAGTAGGCCATATAGAGTGTGATGGTGCATCTAATGTGCACTACTTTTGGGTGCAGAATAGTGTGACCCTATTCATTTTCACACCGTAGAAATTTTATAGAAAACGATGTGTTTGGTTATATGATAAAATCAATATTTAATATGTAATTGGTCTAGACAAATGTTAATAGTTTTAGTTTTGATTCCAGTGTGTTTTTGTTTTCTTTCAAATATACTAAAATCTAAATTTGAATACTAAAAAAGTTAGGTCTCATGGTCTTGTTCTTCGGCCATTATAATAAGTAAGAAAGTTGGTCAAAGTCTATACGCAGTCATTGTTGATTTCATTAACGCTTTGATGGTTGACTATAGTGCACACGTGGTTTGATCTTAATTCACGATGCGTATTAAGTTTAGTTCAAAATATGTAACGTTCTCTCTAATTATACAATTGAAGTTGAATTTTCATGATGTAGCAAATAAAAAAATTATGTAGCAACTATGTTGATAATATAACGGTTAACGCTAACTATGTTGCAGCCACTAGTTGTGACTTCCTAGGCTCATTCATGAACCTACTGATTATAATTACTGTATAGAAGATGTCAAGTTTTCTATTACATAAGTATCTCAATGTTCCGACAGTCTTCTTATACATGGTTGCTTCTACATTCTCTCACTATGCCAAACAAAGGATTAGACAGCGCTTTTTTAGGCCTTTAACGGCGCTTAAAAGCGCTGTTAAAACCTCCGCTGCTAAAGATATAGACATCACTTTTTTTTCAATCACTTTAGACAGCGCTTGGTAAAAGCGCTGTCTATTACCCCCCTTTAGCAGCGCTTTTCCTCATTTTTTTTTAATTTTTTTTTCAATCACTTTAGACAGCGCTTTTCATGAAAAGCGCTGTCTATTACCCCCCTTTAGCAGCGCTTTTTCTCATTTTAAAAAAAAAAAAATTTTCAATCACTTTAGACAGCGCTTTCATGAAAAGTGATGTCTATTACCCCCCCTTTAGCAGTGCTTTTCCTCTTCTTTTTTTTAATTTTTTTTCAATCACTTTAGACAGCGCTTTCATGAAAAGCGCTGTCTATTACTCCCCTTTAGCAGCGCTTTTCTTCATTTTTTTTTCAATCACTTTAGACAGCACTTTCATGAAAAGCGCTGTCTATTACCCCCTCTTTAGCAGCGCTTTTCCTCATTTTTTTTAAAAAAAAAATTTCAATCACTTTAGACAGCGCTTTCATGAAAAACGCTGTCTATTACCCCCCCTTTAGCAGCGCTTTTCCTCATTTTTTTTTCAATCACTTTAGACAGCGCTTTCATTAAAAGCGATGTCTATTACCCCCCCCTTTAGCAGCGCTTTTCCTTATTTTAAAAAAAAAAAAATTTTCAATCACTTTAGACAGCGCTTTCATTTAAAACAAAACGCTGCCTATCAAATTTATTCTCGCCGTTTTTGCACCAGAAACTATAGCTTCATTATAACATTTTAAACAAAAATAACATTAATATATACCACAATGAAACAATATTATAACAACATCAATATTCATCTCTTAAATCCTTTTTGCACAATATACATAACAACAAGATTAATATATACCACAATGAAACAATATTATAACAACATCAATATTCATCTCTTCAATCCTTTTTGCACAATATACACAACAACAACATTAGTATATACAACAATGAAACAATATTATAATTACATCAATATTCATCTCTTCACTCATTTTTGTACAATATACACAACAACAACATTAGTATATACAACAATGAAACAAAATCCACGATGAATATATAACTATATCTTCTACATCGAGTTGCACCTATATAACCGAAAACAAAATCAAAAAATCAAAATTCATACAAGTTACCAAATAACAACAACAAAAACAATAATATTGTAACACAACTATAACGACATATATTATATTCTCAAAACTCAAAGTTATACCTTATAATAAAACTCTCAACTCCATAATAAATTGGCACCAATCCTCCATAAGTTCATTCAATTGATCTTTTGAGTATGAAGCACACTTGAATTCATCAAAGTACTACATAATAATATAACATAGTATGATTTAATTAAAATACTAAGTCAGTTTATGAGAAATATGAAAATAATTCCTAAGTTAGAAATTCATACCGTGGATGGAATCTCTAATCGGTCCAAAAGAATAGTTTCTTTCATAAACCTCAACATAAAATAACCGTAATCTACATCATTGTGCTGACGAGGACACTACACATGGAAAGAAAATACAGATATACATCAAGATATACACCTTAACTTGTTTTATCAAGTATCATCGCTATATAATCAAAACTGTGAAAATCTATACCTCCACTTTGATCCAAGAAATATTGTTGACTCTACTCCTTGGTACTTGAATATCTCTTTATGCTCGAAAACTTTGTAGAATGCTATAATAAAATAATAACGAATATTTATAACTATCGCACATAAATAATTAAATATACACAGTAATATTTTGGAACAATGTCACTTACGTGTCAATCGTCTTCTTCATATCTGAGTATGTTGTCCAATCATTGCCCAATGAATCCAGATAATATACAATTTCTCTCACAGGATTAATTGCAACCAATAACCAGTGTCCACTGGAATATTAAACAAAGGTTAGATGGAAATTTTCTGCACAACGTTAAAAAACGAAAAATTATAATAGAGGTAATTTAGAATGAAAATCTTACTTGGGGCCAGTATTATATGGTAAAAAGAATAATTTTTCTGTATCTTTGCTGGCCATAAATAAACTGAGCACAAATGCTATTACTTCATCTGGTTTTGCGATTATTGACCCTGCGTGGACAATGTTGGGATTTATGAAAGCGAATCTGGACTCCAATCCACGCGGGCGAATCAACTTGTCATACAGAAACCTTAAATAAAAACATCATTAACATTAATTATTCATTGAAATGAGTAAATAAATTTTGCAATTAATTAAACAAAGTTGATTGGAGTATACCTGATGTATGTATTGATAACAGCCATGCCTAATGTTAAGTGTCCAAAAACTTGTTCCAAATCCTTCTTACCAATTGTTGTCATGCCTTCAGAACCATAAATCCCTTCATGCAGGGGTATAAGAGAAGTACCACCTCGCGAAATAGTTGTGAAGCTTATAAATGTCTGAAGGCACGACCTATATTGTGAAGTAGTTTTCTTTCTAGCCCCTAACCTCTTAGAAACACTCTTTGTTTCTGTGGGAATGTTTCTAATTACAGGCTCCTTACCCCTACTTACAACTTCAATCTCTTTAGCAGGAATAATCTAAATATCATAAAATTAGAGTGGTCAAGTATAGGACGACAAATTAACATTATCTAATCATAAATATCATATAACTTTGTTGTACCTGTTTTTTTGCTGTCACTGACTCCTCTGGCCGCGTAATCCCTTTATCTTTTGGTTTGTGTTTTGTAGGAGTCTAACATTACCATGCAAAAAAAATGTAAGTAAAACGAACGTAAAAAATTTGAGTACTAAAAGGTTCATAAAGGTTTTAATTATACCTCATCATCTATGCGAACAAGCCTTGACGGCCATGCAACAAACGCTCCTATTGCCTCTCCCACCAATGTTGCATCCGAAACTTCATCTGGGATTGGTAATAACGCACCCTCCTCTAAAGCAATATCAATCGACACTTTCAAATATCCAGAAGGGAGCGGTTTATGATGAAGTACTTCTCCCAGAGTGTTATGGACTTTTCCCTTGCCAACCATGCGATAAGTTGGTGTCTCTAAAAAGAGTTGACAAGGTGAAATGCCCTAAAATCAATAATAAATATGACATTGTTAATGTGTATATATGCCAGTTAAATAAATTACACTAATTTAATTTCATAATAATATATGTAAGTAACTCGGGAATACTCGGTTGAGCTGCACAATTGACACTAGCTATGTCACTAGCTTCTTTAACACCCGAAGCTTCCCTTTCTGATTGGTATTGTTTTGCTTTTTCCTTCCTCAATTCAAGAACTTCAGCTTCTAATGCATCCAACCTGGCCTGCAGTTCTTTATTGCTAGCAGATTTTGTCTTTGGATTGTTCTTTTTCAAGGAGGTTGGAGTAACCCCATGTCCTTTACCCCTCACCCGACCAGAATACTCACGAACATCTAATGCTCGACTAAGTATGCTCCTGCAATCATCTGGTGGAGATGTAGACTAAGACAGACTCTCCTGAAATTCATATGAATATTGGAAAAACATGAATACTATATGTTAATAAAATTTTGATTTAATTAGAATTAATGTTATACTTACGCATTTTTCAAAAATTTGTTGTACATCTTCTTTGAGAACTCCATCCTTACCCACACGGGCAGCCTTCCACAAAACATGCTCCGGAAGAGATGTTTCTGAACTACTCTCCTCTTTTAACTACACATTAACACAAAAAACAAGCTCAGTTATAACTATTGATGAACAAGTATATCATTGCAATTTGTAAATACTTACTATTTTTTGTTCTAATCGTGCATATCCCAAACGCCCTTTTTTGTATGGATATGCGGGAGATGATGCTCTTAGACAATTTACTTCACTAACACTCTGAAATTTTGGGGTTTTCCGTTTGGCTTTAAAAACATCCCATTCTTTAACTGAAATCACATCCGCATATTCTGCTGGACGCTCTGCATCAACAAATTTTTTTTCGGCATCTCTAAGATATTTTCTGTTTAAATATGTTCTAAACCCTCTCAGTATTTTGCCGGCCAATCCAAGACAATAATCTTTTCTTTTGTCATCAATGTTGAAAGACCTCTACAAAAAACATACACAAAGTGCGTTAGTATAAGTAATTTAAAGACATAATTTAAAGTACA